AAACTAACAATGGAGATATAATAATTCCTCTTCGATTTGTTTATCCATCTTCTCTTCCCAATGAGTTCTTCCTCAAATTGTCCAAAGCTCATGATTGCGTCTAAAATAGTTCTGTCATAAGAGTGCATTTTTACAAAGTCAAATTACTAAAGAAGCATCCTCCGTATTTTATAAAATGCTATTGTAAAACAAAACATAAATTCGTACAAATGAAATCTGAATTCTATCTACAAAAATCATTTCATTTTGCACCCAAATCGTAATAATTATAATAGAAAAAAGCACTCAATAATGATATCATTGAAAAAACTTAAATCATATATCCCTCCCCGCCACCACCATCAAATCCTTGTCGTTCTCGGATTTAACACTTAGGTTGAGTCACGATGGTCTAAGCAGTGGTGACTTACAATGTGTAGCGGTCGTTGCTACTCCCTCCACACTCGTCTGAGGAGCAACCACATAGACATGATGTGAGCAGTGGTGACGCAGCTTTTGAGATCTCAAATACAATCTGAGCAGCGGCTCAATAAATGAAAGGCATGTTGCCGATTAAGGAACACTGCTCATGATCACTGTTTCCGAAATTTCGTTTGCCTTTTCATATAGATAGCTTTGGTATCTTCTTATGCTAATGATATTCATTTGGTTTAGTCCGAGGCAGGAGACAATGAGAATTGGGATGGTAGCAGGCTAACTAAAGATCAAGTTGACCAAAGACGAAGAAGAAAAGTAGAGGCAGTCATGAAAAGAGAAAGAGCTATGGCCTATGCATATTCTCATAAGGTAATTACCAGAGCATTATAGCGTGTATGCATCATCTTTGGTTAAAATCATGTCCCGCTGCGAAATCCCAACTTCTAATGCATTTTGCACAACAAGTTGGAATTTCTGAGTGGGATAGGGGAAGTAGTTAGTAAAGGCTGTGTGTAGGGTTCAGAACTCAATACCCACAAAGAATTGTTTTTTATAACCTCTCACGTCCACAACATCCTTTCATATGACTACAAAATTTTAAAATTCTGATGGTTTGAAGTAATGACATGGGCTAGCAGCAGTTCACATTTTATTGGGAAGAATTGCAATTTTGTAATGATTCATATACCTTCTTGATTGGTGTTACATTATGAAAAAAGCAATGTTCCACTTGCAACTAGTCTTTCATGTTCGATACTCCATAGCATTTGTTCTTGGGATTTTATAGATTTGTTCTTGGGCTTCCATGTATAATACTCTGCAGTATTTCTTCTTGGGCTCTTTTGTATTTAAAATCTGCTATCTGCAGCTTTGGAAAGCCAGTCCTAAATCAACAACGAACAACGGATCAAACGGCTTTCCCTTGTGGTGGAAGTGGTTAGAGCGCCCACTCCCTTCTGCAAACCATTCCGAAAGCCAATCTGCTGCAAAAAGTGTGAATCTATCACCCGCAAGGGCAATTTCAGAGTGTACACCAAACCATCTACGCAAAGCGACCACCTGCAGAAACCTGTATAGCGAGTATGGGAATCTTGAAGCAGATACTCCAACATCAACAAAGTCATCGGTTCCAATGAGAGCGAAACTCTTTCACTACACTCCCGGCAGAACGCCTCAGTACTCCCCAAGCCTAGGAAAATATGCTCATTCAGGAGCCAGCACGGCTGCTTCGACTTCCCGGTTTCCTCTGAAGGACGATGACAGCCTAACAAGCTGTCCTCCCTTTTCTGTTCCAAATTACATGACGCCCACCATTTCAGCCAAAGCCAAAGCGAGACAGAAAGAGGGAAGCGTGGGAACCCCATCCAGTCACACAATGAGAAGGTCATCCTTCCCTTTGACTCCAAACATGGGGTCTTTCAAGTGGAACAGAGGGTCCAGCAAAGGGTCTCTTAAGGAATGCGATGGAAGTGCAGATCGGATGAGCGTGAACTCTGCTGTTTCCATGCCAGCTACAGTTGGTAGGAAACCATTCAAAAGATTTGTATGATCAGACTGTTTGGTGTTTTCGTCGTCAACATTTGTAGTGTTATGTTAACCTCATCTGTGCTGGTGTATGTATGGTGATGTTTTTATTATTCCCAAATACTGAAGTACAACAATGGAAGTGGGGAACGTGCTGCATGTAGTTTAATCTTCATAGTAGTGTTCATTTTGTAACATTTCATCTTTGGAATTTGGGTCAATGTCTAATTTGTTGGAAGTTTGAGCTTGAAATGGCATTCAAGTGGTCACATTTGTAGGCGGTGTCTTGAATTGGGTCTCCATCCTCTTGTGGTCTGGCCAGTCTAAACTCTCCCAAGTGAGATATCACTTTGATACTCAGTCTTAAGCAACTTTGCCATTTTTGACTATTTTATATATGTCAAACATATTTATATCTGACCAATGTTTTATAAATCATTTTTTATTCAAATATATTATTAAGCACGAGATTTCCCAACTTGCCTAGATTAGTCAGGTAATATCAAATGACCAATATGCCCAAACCATTGCTCAACTCAATCTTCAACTTCCTTAGGCAGAACGTCTCGTACTCTCGTGGATCCTCAAGGTGAATGGAGACTTTGATAACTTGTGTCTTGTCTCGCTGTCGTTTTCCCCGACTCTTTCTTGGAGCTCATTCAACTTGGCCTCCATGTGGACCATTCTTTTATCCTTCACACCGGTGTTGCCCCATTTTAACCGGGTATGCACCGAATCTCAAAGTTGGCTACTCTCCACTTATTTCTCTTCCCTTATGTGGGACTTTACATGAATATATACAGGGAATCCAAATCCTACTAATGGTATGATATTATAAAAGGAAACTAACTACAAAGGAAACTAGTTACAAATGGTAACTACAATAATGTAATAATAAATATATGGAATATACTAAATACTCCCTCCGTCCGGAAATATTCTTCCCATTTGACTTTTCTTGGTAAAAGTTTGTAAACTTTGACTTTGATATGTGGAAAAATTACATTGTATTACAATATAACTTCAATATGAATACATTCATTTTGAAATATAGTTTTCAACCATCAAATTTTTATAAAATATATCCATATATAAATAAAGATATTAGTGGTCAAAGTGCAATCTTGGAGACTGTAAAAAGTCAAATGGGAAGAATATTTCTGGACGGAGGGAGTAATTGATATGTTTAACAATATTTAACATGCTCCCCGCTACGTCGGCTGCGGTGGGGGATAAATCCCAAGATTCGTGCGGAAGTCTGTGAACAACATAGATGGAAGTTCTTTTGTGAAGATATCAAAGAAGAGGACGCTACATGAAGGACTCTGACAGGTCCAAGGGCAACTTTGTCACGCACAAAGTGAATGTCTACCTCGACATGTTTGGTGCGTTGATGCTAGACGGGATTGGTGGAGAGGTAGACGACACTAACATTGTCACAGAAGACAAGAGTGGCACATCGCAGGGGCTGCTGCACTTCCAGAAGGAGATTCTGAATCCAGCTAGTCTTAGCAACATCTGCTAGAGCCCGACATTCGGCCTTGGCACTAGAGCGTGATATCGTGTCTTGATGTTTGGAGGACCAAGAAATTAGATTGTCCCCGAGAAATACACAATTTTGTGGACTTGCGAGCGTTTGGGCCATAGTTATCACGGCGCCAAGGCGAGGCGCGGCGCCAATGTATCATCATGACGCCTATGCGCTTGCCAGGTCTTTAAGGTAGGGTCCTCATCAGCAAATTAAACATGGTCGTCATCAATCCAATTAATGTCTTCTTCTTCATCCTCATCATTTGAAGATGCCTGTGGAAGACGCTCCAACACATACACCTGTGGGCACACCGGGCACTCACGCGGCTTGCCCTTCCATAGCCAGAAGGTAACAGCAGGATGCGTATAATCGCCGCCGTAATCGCCCTCCCTGCATACACAAAGGCTGCAATTTGTGAAGGATTTCTCAACATGAGGATCTTCCTTTGTACCGGAACGATTGATACGAAATCCAGTATTCATTCCCTCACGTTCAGCTTCAAGGTCGTCTTCTTGTTTGTGTCCCGTCTCACTCTTGGCATTACATCCTCCACTCTCTTCTTCTTCTTCGTCACAGACTCCGTGCGAGGGCAGTTAGCCATGGATGGGGAAATTGACGGCCTGTCGGATCGGAGAGATAAAGAAGAAAGGGTACGGGGCCAACACCCTACCTTTCTCCACATTGTAGATCGCTCCCTTAACGGTGATGATGGTGGTCAGTGCCATCTATCTACTACTCATTCTCTGGTGAATAGGGTTTGAAAAAAAAGTATATAAAAAATATTATACGGAGTACTCCGTATTATGTAATAAATTTAACAATTGCTCTCCATTTTATAGCAAAGTTGTTATTTTAACAAATACAATTATTATTTAAGTTTACTTTTTTGGGTTCTAACTCTTTATTTTCAACATTTTTAATTTTCTTTCAGTTTGTTCTAACTTCTTCTAATTTGTTCCAAATTCTTCTACTTCTTTCTAGTTTTTCCCGTTTCTTTTAATTCTTTCTAATTTTTTTCAACAATGACTAAAAAAATATATTTTTCATGTTATTACTATTATTATTGTTATTATTATTCCTGTTGTTGTTATTGTTATTATTATTGTTGTTGTTATTATTATTATCATTATTATTACTCCCCGTCCAAATTTAATTTTCTAATTTGATTTTTTATGGTTTTCAATTTAACACTTTGACCATTGATATCGATATATATACATAAATGCATTTTACTTCATATAAAAAATTAATATTTCAAAGCTACAATTCAAAATAAAACTATTTATATTACTTTTGTATCGAAACACAAAGTATTTTTTTACATATTGAGTTCAAAGTTTACAAATTTTGATTAAAAAAAGTTAAATGTGAAGATTAAATCTGGATGGTAGGAGTATCATTTATCTTGGTAGAATAAAAAAAATTAATGTAATGTAAAAAGTTCCTTTATCCTCAAAATAAATTTTATTTAAATAAAATACTTGTACGTTTATATATAAATAGAGGTATTTAATGGTAACCATGTTATATCGGAGACCATTAAAAGTAAGTTAATAAAAAGAAAAATATGAGACAGATCAAATATATTGTTCTGAACTAATAATGAAAAACATAGTTGAGATTTTTATTTTTTTTTTGAAACAAAAAAAGAATAAAATCTTTTTGGAACACAAAGAGTACAACCAGTCAAATTGATTTGGAAAATAATTTGGGGGTGGGAGTACAAATTTTGGGTGTCTCCCGTCTCCACTCTCTTCAAATTGAAACCCAGTCATTTCTCTATAATTCGCTACTAGCGGTTTCTTTGTATAGGTACTGTTATTCGGACTCTTATTTATTCTTACATTTCAATGTTTCCGCTGCGATTAAATTGACTGGATCTGCTATTTATCTGTTAGAAAACGTTTAAGTAAGAATGACTTGTCTCTTTGTGTTCATTTTGGTTGTTGAATTGGGGAATTAGACCTCTTTCTTGACTTAGCGGAAACTTGGAGTACGTTTAGGGAAATATGCTCAGATCTAGCAGAGACTCTCTTAAGCCAAACAATTGAACTTGTGATTCTCGCTATGAATGGGGTTAACCTTTTGGATCTTGGGCCATGCTCAATTTTTGCTTACCTCTGTGTGTTTGTGTGTAAACTAAGGCCATGCTCTTTTCGGTTGGAATTCCAGAGTTAAATGTCAGAAGAAACCGGAAGGAGTTGGAAAATGTCCAAAGAATTTAAGTGTTTAAAACTCATTCAATTAAATCATCATTCAAATCAATATGTAAGAAAACTTTAGTTTTGGATAAAAAAGAATTCACCATTTTCCGTGTTTGAGCTGGTATATTATAAATTTACACACACACACACACACACATATACACCTTTTTTTGTGTTGTTGTAGAAAACTGGAAGGAGTCGAAAGGAATTGAAAGAAGTTGGAAGAAACTGGAAGGAGTTGAAAAAAGCTGGAAGTTAATTTTTCTAACCCGAAAGAACATGAGATGGCATAAGATCAGACAATGAACTATTTTCTGCTCCCCTAGCCACAGCTTTTACTGCCTTATTAGTATTTCCCTTTGCTATTGGTGTGCAGGAACAGGCTGTCAGATTGATTTTTTTTAAAATCTCGTAAAAGATGGATTCTTTGGGTGTTAAACTCTGGCCCCCGAGCCAAAGCACCCGACTAATGCTAGTAGAGAGAATGACCAAAAACCTTAGCACCCCTTCCATTTTGTCTAGAAAGTATGGTCCTCTGTGTAAGGAAGAGGCTGAGGAGGTTTCCAAGGAAATTGAGTCTATGGCTTTTGCATCAGCAAGCAAACACTTGGAGAACGAGCGAGGCGATGATGGAAGCTCTGCCGTGCAACTTTATGCTAAGGAATCAAGTAAGCTTATGTTAGATGTTCTTAAAAGAAACCCAAGAACTGTGGGGGATGCAGAAGGTGAAGCTAACACATCTGAGGAGACTGTTCTTGATTTATCTGGAGGTCAAAGGGCTTTCATTGCCTCTGAAGAAGCTAAGAAGTTGTTGGAACCCCTGAAGAAACCCGGGAACAAATTTACAACGATTTGTTTCAGCAACAGAAGTTTTGGCTTGGATGCTGCCCGTGTTGCCGGGCCTATTCTTTCCAAACTCAAAAATCAACTGGTCAAGGTAGACCTTTCAGATTTCATCGCAGGGAGACAAGAGTCTGAAGCCCTTGAAGTCATGGAAATCTTTTCATCTGCTTTGGAAGGGTGTCAATTGAGGTATCTCAACCTGTCAAACAATGCATTGGGGGAAAAGGGTGTGAGGGCTTTCGGCGAGCTTCTGAAGTCGCAGCAGAGCTTGGAGGAGCTCTATTTGATGAATGGTGGCATCTCAGAGGAAGCAGCACAGGCAGTGTGTGAGCTCATCCCTTCAACCAAGAAACTCAGGGCTCTTCATTTTCACAACAATATGACTGGGGATGAGGGTGCATTGGCTATCTCTGAACTTGTCAAGCGTTCCTCTTTGCTGGAAAACTTTCGGTGCTCGTCCACAAGGGTGGGATCTGAAGGAGGGATTGCACTGTCAGAGGCACTTGGAGAATGCACCCACTTAAAGAAGCTTGATTTGCGAGACAACATGTTTGGCACCAAAGCTGGTGTTGGTTTGAGCATGGTACTACCAAGATTTTCTGATTTGACTGAGATCTACCTAAGTTATTTGAATCTGGATGATGAAGGGTCCATAGCCATTGCAAATGCCCTCAAGGAATCTGCTCCATCACTCCATGTTCTGGAGATGGATGGAAATGACATGACAGTGAGAGCTGCTCATGCAATCGCAAGTTGCGTGGCTGCAAAACAGTTTCTTACCAGGTTGAGCCTGGCAGAGAATGAGCTCAAGGATGATGGTGCGGTTGTCATTGCCCAGGCACTGCTGGAAGGCGGCCATGGCCAGTTGAATGAAGTGGACATGAGCATGAACTCAATCAGAAGAGCCGGGGCCAGGTCCCTTGCTCGGGCTGTTGTCAGTAAACCAGGGTTTAAGGTGCTGAATATGAACGGGAACTTCATATCCGACGAGGGTGTTGATGAGGTCAAAGAAATCTTTAAAAACTGCCCGAATCTTCTTGGGCCTCTGGATGAGAATGATCCCGAAGGGGAAGAGTCTGATGAAGGCTATGATGGAGGGCTCGCCGATGATGAGAATGAGATAGGGTCTAGGCTCAATGCCCTCGAAATCACGCGCGAGGAATAGTGGCGGCATTGCAATTCTGAGCAAATCCACTCTGAGGACTTGTCTAGACTCTAGACTCGTCTCAGTTTTTTTTTTTTTTTTATAAAAATTATCTTGTGATGATGGATCAATGGAAATGGACGATGTTATTCGTTCCCTTTTGGCATTTGAGGTGGCGTTGGAAAGAAGAGTAAGTTTAAGGGGGAGAAAAATCGACTTGAAGTTGGGTGACAAATCTAGCAAGTTCAAAAAGGGGTGACTGGGTTCCGAACTATTACGAATAATGGATATATTAGAAAATAGAATGTTACTCCCTATGTCTTAATTTTAAATTATCTGTTTCGGTTTACGAGAAAGTGAATGAAATTTGATCATTTAAATAGTAAATAGGTAATTTAATTTGAGATGGAGAGAGTATTATTTATTACCATCCTTATTAATTACTTATTTATTGTGTTGTTACTATAATTCTTTTCTTACTTGATTTGAATTCTCTCTTGTAACTCCTATCTATAGGAATGTATCTTTCATTATTCTATAAGGAATCATTATTGAATTGTATCCACTTCTCTTCTTGACTTCTTCATAATAACTCATTTGTCTTCTTCCTTCACGCAACAGTGCAACAGTAACATCTTTATCTATTCAATGGTGTGTGGGAAATGAACAGTTTTCTCGTCCAAATTTAGCGGCGGAATTGGGCTACTGAGATTGGGGCGAATCCTTGGGAAATGTACAAGTTGCTTTTATGGTGTGTTGGGCTGTAAAAGTTGGGCCGATTTCTTGGGAAATGTAGAAGTTTTTTTGGTGGCGTGCCTTTGGATGAGGTGCTTTAAATCAGGCATGCAATCTTACTATATACAATGCTAGGATTGCCTTTTGAACAGTGTTTCCGCCCAAAATTTGGGTATCCAATTGGAAACAGTAATGGGTCGGGTTGGTGGGCCAAGTATTGGCAAGTGGGTAGTAGGACTCTACACCCTGAAGTCTCGAGCCAACCACAAAAAAAGTGTTCTTTATGTCCAATCACATTTAATAAACTTTTTTCAGCATGGAAGGCACGTTAATCCATGGAAGGCACGTCAATCCATTGCTGGCATGTTTACTTTCCAGCTGGGCACACTAAACATAGCAACCACAGCAGATTTGCAAATCTTTAGATTACATGTCACTCATCCTACTATATACAAAAATCAATGTACACTACAGAGTAAAGAGGAAAATGGGGGATTGAAATGCCCAAATTCAGCCAGGCCCAAAGCATATTTATATATATTCGTTGATTTTTGGCTTCCTAGATACTACCTCCGTCCCAGAGTATTTGTCCACCTTCATTTTTGCACATCATCTAATACACTTCTTTAATCCATTTTATCTTGTAATTTGTATATTAAAAAATTATAGAAATTATATATTAATAATCTATATCTTAAGACAAATCAAACAAGATCACACATGACTATATTTAGGCTTACACATTAAGAGAATTTGATGAGTCAAAGTGCTTAGATGAACAGTCCCAAAAGTTAAAAGTGGACGAATATAGCGGGACGGGGGGAGTACATTGAATACATGGTTACGAACTAGTCATAGGTAATGGTCTAAGTTCAATCCTATGAAAAATATAATCTAAATAATACGAGTACGCATTAAGTTACATATGCTCTCTTGAAAAATGGTAATGAAGATTGCTTTGGCTAGGGAGGTAAGCATCCTCTCCTGCCCTCTCATACCATAAATAAACCCAACTAACTCATGTCTCTTTTTTCATACGGAGAATTTGATAATTTGTTTTCATGCATTTGTTCTCACCGCAGTACAAAACTTTTGGGCAAGAATGGCACCTGGGAAGAACATATAGCAGTAAAATTAAAGAAGTGTTTTCTATACGAAGATTGAGATGGCATGAATATAGTACTTTAAATGCAAAAGAGTCATAATATAAATCCTAAACAAATTCAATGGTTGATTGTTCATGATGAACGTTTAAAAAATTGTCGATGCAAGAAATAAGAATCACTTATTAAAGCACAAAAAAATGAAAAAATGAAAAGTAAAATTAAAAATGACATGTATCATCACTTTTTTGTTCTTGGTTTCATACTCCATATTCTCATATTCTTTTTACAATGATTATCAAAAAAATATTTCTATCTATACAAATCATCCCCAAAAAAGTTAAAAATTTATTTGCAAACGAAACATTCAAAGAAGCTTTTGAGTTTCGGAGATTACATTCAAAAAAAAAAGGAGAAAAAAAGGTTTTAAAAAAATACAAACAAATAAAATATTATTTCCCAAGAAGTTAACATATTTTACTATATATTTAAGTAAGAGGACAGAAAAAGTAAAAAAATAAAAACCCTATATATTTCAAAAGTTTGATTTTTTACTACACACCATCACCTTATATATTTTCTATCAAAAATTCAGATATTTAGTTTTAAAAAAATAGAATAAATAGTATTTAGTTGTGCAATCAAATTTGAGAAAGAGTGCAGAGAAAACAAAATAATAATGAATATTACTGATTCTTAAATCGAAATTATTCAAAGAAAAGATATTTGAAATCAAAGATTCATTAAAAGATGTCTATGATATAAGGTTTAAAAATAACACAAAGAAATTAAATATTTTTCTCCAAGGAATTGTCAAATTTGAGAATGTGTGCACAAAAATATTAATTAGACCGTTTCAAAACACAATAATTTTTGACTGAAAACCAGTTAACTTAGCGCTTTATTTTTAGAAAAAAGTTGCGAGTAAAATGAAAAAGAGTCATATCACAAGTTCTAGGCATGAATAGATGAATGGATTACCATGAACCGTTAAAACAAAAAAAAAACTAAAAAAAACAAAGAGATTGAAAGATCCGTAAAAATAAAGATTGAATAAAAATATTAACTGAAATGTGCATATAGGAAGTTGAGCGAATCTGATTCATGCATCTCTAAGAGGGTGTTTGGGAGTGTGTTGCTTTTAATAATTTAGCTTTTGCTTTGAGTAGGAGTGATTTTATTCTATTTGGCATGTCAGCTTCTGCTTTTCACCACAACTATATTGTATATAGAACATCGTTTCAGAGAAGCAGGTATGAGGTGCATCTGTTTTCAGTTTTTATGGAAATTATTTTATCAATAAGTTAATCACTCTCAAACACCCTCTAATTCATGCTTCTCGCGATGTTTCTCGGAGCGTAGAGAGAGAGAGAATGATAGAAATGAGAGATTTGGTTAGGCAGGTTAATTTGAATATATGGTTAGGTTTAGAAATTTGGTTGGCCTGAAAGGGTTAGGATGGACCGTGTTTTTGGAGGGCTAGGCTTAAGGAAATTAGAGATGCTGGCTTGGGTTGGGTTGGGTAAAATAAGAACTTAATCCAAAAAAATTAACAAAGTAACATAATTTTAATTGGTGTTAGCATTTGAAAATAAACAATTTTAGTATATTTTTAAAAAACTATGGAGTATAAGATTTGTACAAAACAATTGGTGTCATCAATACTTTATCAAATTAAATGATCCATAAAAATTAAAAAAATAAAATTTCTGCAGAACATATTTTTATCTTTAATTTACCTTTATTATATATTATATTTAATTTGCCTTTATTATTATCTATACAGAGATAGGAGGATAAAGAGGAACGATGTTATATAATATTATTGTACATGTTTAGAATATATATCTATCTGTTCATAAATATTTTAAAAGTCAAAAAATTAAGAATTTTTACCTTTCTAAATTTAAGTTTTTACTTGAAATTGTTGTTTGTAACATGATTCATATGGTATAATTGTTTTTACTTATGTTTTGAGGATTTTTGTGTTTGTCAATTTTACACTGTCGTGGAGAGATTATATATGTACTTAGGGTATTTTGTTTTTTAGAAAATTGAGAATGGTTACTACGGAGTATATTTTCAAAAGTATCCAATACAAAAGCATATTATTACAAACCTTTATTATGGAGTATTTTAAACGCCCTTTTTGTACTTTTCATTAATTAAATTTAATGCATGTATTTAATAAAGATATTTTCCAAGTATAAGTTATATTCAAATTTATAATTTAATACGGAGTACTATGTATTATTCTACAATATATTTATTATTTTTACAATTTAACTATATATTCAATCATTCAATCATTTTAGATAAATATTTAGCATCGTGCGGGTACGATTTCTAGAAAGAGAAACAGAGATTTGAAAATAATTAGACTAAAAGTGGAGATTTGGAAGAGAGGGGAACCCCAAATTTGACACCACTTTTCACTCCACTTTTCTTGTTGACGTTCACAAACACGAAACAATATCTAATAAAAGTGCAGTCAAATTTGGGGTTCATTTGAGGAATTAAGGGGTGATTTCCCTGCTTGTGTAAGATACGTGCATGCCATTCCTTTATATGTTTTTTTATAGTGTGTTATCCCAAATAAAACCAACCGGAGTTGGCTAATCTGATTCAAACTTTATTATTTACCCAAACGGAGTAGCCTAATCTAATTCACTCATTTAATTAACAAACGGAATAGCCTACTCCGTTCCCCTATTTATTTATTTTCTTGATGATTTTCTTAATCAAATTGTTGTTTTTTGTTCCAATTTTTTTGCTTTAAACCTATCTAACTTTTTTTATAAAAGTATCTTATGAAAAAAATTTAAATTTTTAGTTTCTCAATTGAATTGAATAATTTTTGTTACTTATAAACTATTTATAAGAAAATAATTTAATTACAAAATAGAGGAAACATGCATAAAGAAAATATAGATGTAAAAACATATACTATAAAAAAAATTAAAAATAAAACTACTTTTTATTGACTTTAAGTGATATTTATACAACGAAATTAAAAGAAGAAAAAAATACAATAAATTTATTGATAGAGTAGTACATATAACAATTTATTCATAAAAATAAGATTACAAAACACAATCCATGACTAACTAATTTTGGGAGTTTAATAATACAGTACATAAACTCAAACACAACTTAAATTCATGACATAGCTATTCCTCGTTGTGATATTTCCGTGGTCGATAGTCCATGTTATTCGGATAGTGGGTTCCCGTAGGTCGGCCGGTTCATGTGCTTTGTCGCGGCGTTGGTTTCACTATCTTGTACTGTTGTCCATTCAGGCTCATTTGGAAGCGGCACTATGATGCCAGAGTAAGCGTTGATATAAGACTGAATTGAAAAAAAACATTCAGAATCAAATGATCCATGCTGACACTCTCAGTAATGACATACTGCGTGAACATGACTGCACGGGATGTAAAATGTTACCCATTGACCACAGCTACATGTTCGTGCATTTAAGTTCACCGTAAATGTCTCCCGCTGAGCAATGTTGGACGACCCATCCACCACCACAGAGTATATCCCTTATTGTGCGGAGTGCTGCACAACACGATAGTAAAGCCTATTTTCTTCATTTTTCCTAATATGTTTACATACATTCATAGAAATTTGTAACTGGATTGCTGCCATACATATCCATTTGTTCGCCACTCAGCAAAAAGTTTGACCAATTTATCATGGGTGAACTTCACAATGGCATAGACACGCAAACATTGACAACCCTTAAGGACATTATTGAAGCAATCTGACGAATTCGTGGTCATTATGCCATAACGTGCGCCACCTTCATCATGTGACAACGCCCACATGTGTGTTGGAATGGCATTAAGCCAGTTGTAAGCTTCTTGATTTTTGAGGACGTAGCTTGTTCCATGCTGATGTGAGGGGTTTCCTATCAGTTTTCGATCGCGGAGGTAATACCACTGACGATACTCTGGCATCCAGCATCCCAAATTCTATCGGTACATGTGCAGCGTAACGTCCCTCCCATACATCTAAATAATGTCTCTCACTATCAGCAAGCTCTATAGTGTTTGACTTAATATTATGTAGGTGTCGATCATACACAACATCGAGAGGAACGCGTTGGCGGGCACCAAACTGTCTGTAAATCCGATCCGGATAGTACATCTCGACAACATAACCATAGATCAAAGGGATGCGTGATATCCATATTCGGAGTCCAGCTGAACAAAAGGTTGGTAGGGTATCGAGATTCGGATACGGCATCCAAACAAACTACATACATAAAGAAGTATTAGGATAGACATTTAAAATAAAATATGTATGCATAACATTGTGATGTGATTAGTACTTACCTCTCCCTCGAGCAACCTGTCTAACTGGTCCATGTATGCTCGTAAGGAGTGTGTCGTACAATCTGACCACCGATGGTAACACACCCATCTACAAGTGGAGGATTAAACATTAACATGAGTAAAATAAACTAAGTGAATGCATGATAGACATAAAGAAATTGTAAATACCTGACTGCACATGGGACATTAACCAGCTGCTCCAATGGTACAATGCCCCTAGGTCTAGTCATAGGCAGATGTTCCCATGTCCAAAGCTGTAACAGGACACGACACCTTCAAATCTGTGCTACATGTGTCATGCTAGCACGACACATACTACGATACAAGAAACTAAAAACCGCAAAACCAATGACACGACCCTGCACCACCACAAAGTCACCAATGATTACCTCCAATAGATACAAACTAACATTATTTCCCGTCGTGTTGGGAAATAAGCTACCACACAACAACTTAAACATAATAGTTCTAGCATGTTGAAGGTAATCAACGTCTACACTATGATCTGTCAACGCCTTCGAAACAATTGCAGACATCTTAACCATAGAAGACGTAATATCAGATGCTTCAGGTATAAATCTCATCATGTCGTCACATATCTGAATCCACTGATCCTTTGATCGACCAGTGATCCCTGCCAATGGAATGCCATCTACGGGCAATCCAAGCAAAACCTCAACATCTTGCAACGTAATTCCCACCTCTCCAAAGAGAAGATGGAATGAGTGGGTCTCGGGTCTCCATCTCTCCACTAAAGAAGTAATCAAATCCCAATCTAACTGTAATCCACCCACTTTCTCCACCTCATAAAATCCATAATATTGTAAAATCTCTATTACACAAGGTGGTCTATGACACTTTAAGATCACTTTGGCATATTCTTCGCTCGCCCATACTGGATCACACCTATGCTTTCCAGGTTCAGAAACTAAAACGTCTCATGAAATAGGTCCCAGATGAACAACTATTTGCTTCAAAGATTACAGCATAACAATTTATTCATTTAATAACAATTCATTTGCTTCAAATATTACAAAATAACAATATATTCATTTAATAAAAATCACAACAAGCATTATCAATATTGAAATAAATATTAAATTAGAAATCATCCTAAATAGGACTAAAACATAGAGAAAAGTACCAAAATAGGACTTTCATGTTTTTTTTCCGAAATAGGACTTTGCACTGTGGTAATGTGACTTTGCCTTGTTGTAATGTGGCAGTGTACATGTGCAAATTACTATACTTTTTTGGTAATGTATATGACCATGCATGATAATGTAAGTTCTATTTCGGGAATAAAAATATGGAAGTCCTATTTTGATATATTTTCAATGTTTAGTCCTACTTTAGTCTTTCTCCCATATTAAATCTATCTATGAGTAAATAAATATCTTGCAATCTCAAATGTATAAAAATTAATTATATATTTGTCAATATTTTTAAGAAATACTAAATCTATTATACGAACCAAACACAAATTCTTTGAAACTAATATTTTCACATGAATCAAGCTTTAAAAAAAATACCTCCATGGCTCCATACAAAACGGAGTAGCTGACTCTGATTCCTTCTTCTCGCCGGCGTCTCTCGTCGGGCTGGCCGCGTCTCTCTCCCACCCAAGCCTTAGCTGGAATTGCACAGTTTTTTTTTTTTGGGTTCTGTGGTTGGTTCGGCAGAGGAGGGGAAGGATAAGGTTGATTTTTTTTTGGGTTGTGTGGTTCGTTCGGCAGAGAAGGGGAGGGGGAAGGGATGTTGGTTTTTTTTTGGGTTGTGTGGTTCGTTCCGCAGAGGAGGGGAGGGATCAGGTTGAATTTCCCCAAGAGCATGCTACATTTACACTAAAAAATATACCTCATTTGTACATCACACTGCGGGGTACAAATATTTTGATGGTTTAAATCGACACAAGTGTTGATACGTTATCAAAAATTTACATAGAGATAAATGTTGGTGTGTTAACAAAAATTAGTTTTCCACCAACACAAAATGTTGGTGCAAACCTGCGAGGTACAAATTGGGGTATAAATGTTAGGGTACACATAACTTAATCCATTTCCGTATCGCTACTCCGTCCTGATTTAATTTCAAGAGGTGTGGAGTAAGCTATTCCGTCTCATTTTGGTTTAATTTCAAATGAAACGGAGTATGCAACTCCGTCTGGCACTGCAATGATAATGGAGCATGCTACATGTACCCCAAAATTTATACGGAGTACTTCATTTGTATGATAAAGGTATGCACCAACATTTTGATGGTTCACACTAACATAAAGTGTTGGTGCGTTAAAAAACCTCGTAACGTGCAATGGGAAGATCTTAGAATGAAGGAGTGAGGATATTTTTACTAATAATATACCTACTTTTACTAATCACATTAAAGATAATTTAGAAATATTAACAAAAAAAATATTATTCCTTCCTTAAATCACATAGAAATCAAAATAAGGATATTTAGATTGCGTTCTGTTCATCTAATCTTATCTTATCTGATTGCAGTTATAAATAAAAGCTATTTTTGATCTGAACGCATCCATATGGACGGAGGGGTAGTTTTTTAAAAGGATATTTAATACGGAGTAATTAAATATAAAGAAAACACACATACTAATACAAATAGATAAAGTATCACAATAAAAGTTTAATATTTTTAATATACTAAATTAAGTGTTTGTATTGTGATAATGTGACACTATATATATTTTCCTATAAAAATTGTAATATTTCATAATTATGTTTGTTTGAAATTGGATTTACTTGTTTTAAATTTCATATACAGAGTCTAATGCTTGTTCGTTAAACAAACCTCACATTACACTTTATACATTCGGAATTATAATGATGTTAATATTGTATTAAAATATAATATACTTATGTGGAGCATATTCTTTTTGCTTGAAAAATTGAATTACTCGATTATTGCAATCAATTAAAAAAAGTGAGAAAACATAATGAGTATGAGCCACATAAGATTTAAAATTCACGTAGTTTAAAACAAAAATAGTTTAATACGGAGTATATGAAAATAAAAAGAAAAATTAAAATAAGTGGGGCATAAATTATTCAAAGAAAAAATACAGAAATATAGAGGACAAAATTATAAATCACAAAATTATTACTAAACGTATACTTTGAAACAAAAACAAATGTGACACACACAAAACAAAAAGAGACAAAAAATTTGAAATAAATAAAACTTGGTTTATTTTTTATTATTTATTTTTTAATAAATGAAAAAATAGTGTTCATTAAATTATTTTGAATAAAAACATGAAATTTCTACACTTTATTTTTTCATGCATTTTCCAACTCTTTAGACCTTCCAACTCCTTCTAGTTTCTTTCTATTACTTCAAGTTGCTTCCAACTCTTTTCAGTTTCATTCAACTTTCAGTTTTTTCTAAAATCAAACTCTGAAATTTCAATCCAAAAATATAAGGCTTTACTATTAGTCTCTCTCGATAACTTTTGTTTGTTTGCATGCTTTATTTTGTAAAACCTTTGGTGTTGTTCATAAATGTGTGAATTTTCTGTTTTTAACTTATATTCCAATTTTTAAATATTATCTTTTAAAATTATGAGATTTTGCAAGTTTTTCAACAATGGATTACGTAGTACTCTCTCCGTCCCCCAGTTTTTGTCCACTTTCATTTTTACACACCATTCAATGCACTTCTTTTACTTGTAATTTGTAAAAAAATTATAGAAATTATATATTAATAATCTATATGTTAAGACAAATCAAACAAGATCACACATGACTATATTTAGACTTACACATTGAGAGAACTTGATGAGTCAAAGTACTTAGATGAACAATTCCAAAAGTTCAAAGTTGACAAAAACTGAAGGAAGGAGGGAGTATCATTTTTGGACGGAGGTATCGAGTATTATGTTTCCCAAAAAAATAAAAAAATAATAGCAACGATATAAAGTCATGTACTCCGTACTTGCTTAATTTGACCATTTTCCTTTGTTTTTTTGGGAAAAGCTTAAAGTGTCCAATTGTCCCTTTTCACAATCCACTTTTATTTTTAATATTCTTTGTACTCCTTGTTGGTCTTATGGGGGATCATCGATCACCCTTAGGAATTCGTTACTGTGCTTAGCATGGTATCGGATATTGACAGCCCAACCTGACGAGGTACATGAGTCGTTTATCTTGCGAAGCCCCTCCTGTCCATCCACCGCTCAGTAGTGGGGCTCCGCACCGCCGTAGTGAACTATAGGGGGTGCCCTATAGGAATCTACCTCGGCTTGGGGCTACCGAGAAATATGGTTAAATACAAAGTGTCCACCTTCCTATCACCAATTGGTTTTAGGAAGCATTTGACACCTCTTTAACTTCAGAACTCTGTGGTTAAACGTGCTGGAACGGGAGTGGTCCCAGGATGGGTGATCCACTTGGAAGTTTCAGAAAACGATCCTACACTCCTCTCTCCCCCACCTATCAAACATGAAGGCTAGCTAGAAATTTCAAGGGAGAAAGACCAACCGGGCAAAGTCACATTACCACAATGCAAAATCCTATTTCAAGAAAAAAAACATGAAAGTTGTTAGAGTTAAAAGAAGGAAAAAGGATTAAAGAAGGAAAGTGTTAGAGACAGAAGAAGGAAGCGGTATTGAAGAAGGAAAGTGTTAGAGATAGAATAAGGAAGCAGGATTGAAGAAGGAAACTGAATCCTTTTGGGATTAGGTTTAATATCTTTCCTAGTTGGATTAGGTTTATTATTTAGTATCTTTCCTAGTTTGTTTAATTCTTATTTTAGTAGGAATAGAAATTTCTTTGTTCACTTTACCCTCTTCCTATATAAAGAGGGTTAGATCTTTGTATTCAGAACAAGTTTCACAAGACAAGAAATAATACAGAGAATTCTCTCCAAATAATTCTTTCATGGTATCAGAGCCAGTTTTGAATTCTTGAGACATCAAACACGCTTCTTCCCCTGCCGGTGGGCATACACAATTCAATGCCTACCGGTGGGATATTGTGATTTTTTTATTTTTTTATTGTCCTCCCTCATTCTTGAAGAAGTGGTCGGACAAGGGTTGTTCTACGGAGACAAACAACTCTTTCCGCGTCTACTGTTCACAATCGACCGGCATCGCGTCCATCGATCGTCACCTGTTGTTGCTGCTGAAGTACCGGAACGGTCGACCGTTGCTGAAGAACAGTCGAGTGGGTCGACTGTCGCGACAGCAGTTTCTCTTGATCGCGGTTACTGTTCACGATCGCCCGGCATCGCGTCCATCGGTCGTTGCTCAGTTTCTGTGGTTTGGAACAGTTCCCAATTTGTACGTGTAGGAATTGCACGTGGGACCTGCCGGAGAAACTTGCGCAGATGCGCGAACCGAGGGAACGTTTCTTGTAGGTTTGGAGCAGATCCCAATTTGTACGTGTAGGAATTGCACGTGGGACCTGCCGGAGAAGCTTGTGCAGATGCGCGAACCGAGGGAACGTTTTTTTATGTCCGCATGTTGAACTCCCATGCTCTAGCTTGAGGGAGGGTGTTAGAGTTAAAAGAAGGAAAAAGGATTAAAGAAGGAAAGTGTTAGAGACAGAAGAAGGAAGCGGTATTGAAGAAGGAAAGTGTTAGAGATAGAAGAAGGAAGCGGGATTGAAGAAGGAAACCGAATCCTTTTGGGATTAGGTTTAGTATCTTTCCTAGTTGGATTAGGTTTATTATTTAGTATCTTTCCTAGTTTGTTTAATTCTTATTTTAGTAGGAATAGAAATTTCTTTGTTCACTTTACCCTCTTCCTATATAAAGAGGGTTAGATCTTTGTATTCAGAACAAGTTTCACAAGAGAGAAATACAGAAAATTTCCTCCCAAACAATTTTTTCAAGAGTCTTATTTTAGTACTTTTCTCTATGTTTTAGTCCTATTTAGGGTGATTTCTAGAATTCTAATTGGTAATGACTATTGAATTGTAGTTGTTGAATTTCGTTTGAATATAAAGGAACAAGTAAACAGAAATTGGAAGTTGTTTTCGATTCGATCTTGGAGCTAAAAGCAAAACAGATCCAATTTTTCTATGGGAAATGAGGCAAAAGACTGAAATAAAAGTAAGTAATCAAATAAGGTATTGAAACAAATATGGTCTAGTGGCATAGTAGTCATTTGATTACTTTTTTTAATTTTTTTTATGTGGTCTAAGTGTCAAAAAAGGGAAAGAAAACACCATAACTGTGAGAATAGCAATCTAATAAAAATTTATACACAGGGTATAAACTACGGAGTGTGAGTAATGTTTCACAACAATATACTACTGTCCCTGAATATTTGTCCAGTTTTGTTTTTTTTAGTCAAATGTTCTCAACTTTTGACCTATAATTAAATAAAATTTGTATTGTGTATTAATTAGATAAAATTATATTTTGAAAACATTTGATATAATAAATCTTATAAAAAAATTTTGTATCAATATCTAATATCATTTTTATTTAATTTGAAGTCAAAGTTTATCAATTTTGACCAAAAAAAGTCAAAAGTAGACAGATGGATCACTTATGTTTTACCGGAGTATTGTCATTTAAGATTGTTGTAAATTGTCAATTACAACTATATTTTCAAATTTATTTATCCATTCAACTGATTGAATACTCAACGTCTTTGTTACCTTTTCGTCCCAAATTAATACTCCGTACTTCATATTTACACTTGACCTCAAATAAATACTCCATATTTACATTTGACTGTTCCAATTATTTCCAAACATAAACTAATTTTATAAAAAAAAAAAATCAATATCTCAAGACGAAATAGAAAAATAAATCTTAAATTTGCTCCGTAATACTCCGTATAATATAACTAAACTTTTTTTCCCCAAATTGTAATCAAAATGCGTAAAACTTCATTAAGTCGGACATAGCCGTCATGTTGGAATTTGACCGATGGAGTGCTTGTTTTTAGTTATAAATTGCAAACTATTGGCTTATTCATTGCATTCCACAAAGCACCTCAAAGCTTTTGTATTTCAAACCAACTTTCGCCCTCAAACTGAGGTATGCTTGTTTATAGCATTAGAGCTTGTCCTCCCTAACATTTTTTTTGGCATAATAATTTATATTCTTATTGGAATCAGAATAAATCAGAAACATTTTTAAATATAACTACTATTATATTAGATTAGATCAAAATTTAATCAAATCAGATCAAAACCAATCATATAAGATGAAGAGAACAAACTCTATTCCTTTTAACTAACTACACAATGCCTTCCTATCCATACACGAGTATTTAAAAATGAAGTTTCGACTCAAAAAACGTTGTGGGAACAATGAATTGGTATAACAGAAGAATACAGACCCAGGCAAAAAACAAATTGGTGTTTCCATTCCTGGGACATTTCAGTGAAACTACTAGTTCCTGTACACCCCCTTCCTCTTCTACATTAGCCAATCAGAAAGAGAAAAGAAAAGAAGAAGAAAAAAAAGAGGCAATTTATTACCGCCACATGTCATCTTGAACAGGTCCCGTGAGCACTCTCACAAAGTGGGCCCGAGTCTCGGGCAATATACGTTGAATCAGTGGCGTGTACCTACAGAATAAGCTCTTAGCTGGCTGTGCAAAAGATGGCAAAAGTACTAATTTGTCCTTGTTTAGGAATTGGAAAGTACGTAACCAACACGTACCACTGCATGACAATAAGTTTGTCAAAGTTCTCCAGGACAAAAAGAATGCAAGCAGTTCTTAACGACGTAGCACTGAAAGCCTTGGACAACTCGAACATCATAGAGACATTTTCCACTGATATATCCTTCAAGAGATCATACAACCAAACTTACCAAAGTGTCAAACACAAGTCAGCAGAAAGGAGACCGGCATTTCCCACTGGGAAAAGAAAAAATTGTGAGGGATATGTCCCCAAAAGTAAAACCCAACCTGTGCAATTGTGCATTCACATAGACGTTTTAGGCCATCTAGCAGATATTGATCAGCTGCTCTTAGAAGCTCCTGAGAAATTTCCAAACTAACATCAACAGACCCCGTGTATATGTACCTGCAAGTAAGAAAAGTAATAATAGGAGATGATATCGCATCTAAGAAAACAAAGAAATGATTTTTGCTTTCTCACTTCATACAAGATTTTCACCTCATCATCAACTCAAAAACATCCCATCTGATATTTGGGATCTCAATGTCTTTGGCGTCCCTCTCCTGCAGTGTAGCAAGAAAACACATTATAAAGCATATTATTCATAGAGCCCTCCAAGTCACCGAACAAATATAATAAATGAAATTTCCGATGAATTTCAAGTTTTCACAATCTAACTCACCCTGTAACCACCATCAAACATTGCCCGAAATGCATCAGAAGAAGCAAGCAAGCAAATTCGGTGGGCATAAAACCGCTTGCCTGGTGATTTTAACACGAGAATGTCAATATAACAGCACCACAGAAATTGGCATTGAAAGAACATACAAAGATTATCAGTAATCAATATCAGTTTATACCTTCAACTAAAAATATCACATCTGAAAGTGTAGGATTATTTACAAACTTATCACCCAGATAGACCTGCATAAAAAAATTAGCAATTAACAATGCTAAAAACTGAGAAACGGGAAACAGAAAAAAATATGTATAGAAAAAACCCCCCAACACTATATCAACTTAGGAAATCAGAGTAATGCTCCCACTAATGCCATTGGAGATATATTTTGTAATTCTATGAACAGATCCTTTTTTTTAAGTGTATGAACATATCCCGACACATTAAACTAGACAAATAAATAACCTGGGGAACTGGAGACAGAGGAGCTGCATCAATATGAGAAAGTGAACTGGCTTCATTCGCTAATTTACGTAGGGCTGCTGAAGCATCTCTTTGGTTCTTTACAATTGTTGATTCCAGAAGCTCTAAAAGCAATTCCAGCCCTGATGTGTTGCATGTAGAGAAATATAACACTTTGCGGTGAGTGCAATATAGTTAAACTGTACCCAATCCATGTAGGAGAATGCTTATGTGGTGTTCATAGGAAAAATGAATCATCTCACCGTTGTTATATAGAAAAATTGTCTTGTGATCCTCCGGTGATGAAAGATGAGCAAGAGCCAATGCAACACGTCGTTGGACATCAATATCTTCAACGCGCATCAAATACAACAAGTGGCTTAGAACCTGCAAAGGGCAAAAAAAATAAATTGATTGGATCCAAATGTGGCACTAAGCTCAATCCTCAAAAACAACCGCAAATGAACACTCCTAGAAATTGAAATTTTCTTTAAAAAGAATCTAACTAAGAACACTTTGCTAGCTGCTGTAAAAGATTAGTAGCCCCAAAATATGACTTACTCGCCCATGAATCTTTTCTTCTAATCTTTTCAATGTCTTTGCCACACAATCTCTAGTTGGCTACCATTACAGATGAAAGATAAAAAAACATGAGGCAGTAAAATACAAAGATATTCTAGAGATACTACAAGAATGCTTTTATTACAACAACAACAACAACCCAGGTGAATCCCACAGCAGTAGGGTCTGGGGAGGGTGTGTGTACGCAGACCTTGCCCCTACCGTCCCACAAAAAAACTTCCTACTTTCCCTTTTTGGATGTCCCGAATACAACTTCCTACTACAGTTCCATTCATTAAAGCGAACATGTGGCTCAAAAAAAATCTCTCGTCTAAACGAATTCCATCCACGTAAGTTAACTTTTCAAAGCTTTTCTTAAATTTTGTGCAAAAAAAAACTAAGAATCTTTTTATGGGACGGAGGTAGTATTTGACATTTGACAGACTCAAGAGCATTAGTTGAAGAAATAAGAGCTCATACTTGAACAATAAATTCTCCATCTTGAAGTTTTTGAACACCCCCAACTTTGACTAGATCTGCAACATTATCCTACAAAAGAATGTCACAAGTAGTCAATAGGACTTTTTTTTAAAAAAAGTAGTTAATAGGAATAACAGGCCTATGAAATTATGGCATTGCAAATCATGCAATGGTCAAAGGTACCTCATTATCAGCAAGCCCATAGAGTGCAAATGCAGCATTGTGTTGCAGGTTTCCATTCTTTGAGTCAAGAAGTTTCAATAGTGGCACAATACCACCACTATGGGCAATACCAGCTTGATTGTGTGTATCCTAAAAATTTTAAGGGGCTAATAATTTATACAACAAATTCAAGTACAATCCCACAAAAGTAGGGGCTGGAGAGGTTGTTTGTAAGCAGAGAGGTTGTTTGTAAGCAGAGGCTGTTTCCAAGGGACTCTTGGCTCAGATGCAAAACTAGGAACAAGAAACCCACTGATGTACGAACAAAGCCAAAAGAAGAATACAAGCCAAATCTAAGAACTAGCTATAAAGAATTTTTGTATTATGATAATGTGATACTGTATATTGATATTTTATAGTATTTTTTGGTATTATATATTGACATTATACTCGGTAACTCTTAATTTGGAAATAAAAACATGAAACTCTTATTTTGGTCTATTTAGAGTATGAGAATTTTGTCGAATATAATTAGAAGTGTAAGACTGATATTGAGTACGAGATAAATGTGTTATTCCAACAAGTTAGAAGTGTTATTAATTACGTTTAAGAGCCGTTTTTAAATAATCTTTTTTTAAGGATGACTTAAACAAAAAAATTACAGGGTCCAAAAGCAAAAAATCACCTATTTTACAAGGACTAAAAATATATTTAACCCTTAAATATTAAGTCAAATAGTTAATCAAATTTACCCAGGGACTGATTGGTGAGTTTTAGAGACATAATAAGATACGAGTTTTGACGTATGAGAAAAATGATTTGGGTTTAAAAATCAGAAAGAAAAGTGAGGAGTAAATAGAAGTGAAATCAAAGCATAGTCACAACTATTTGGTGAGTAATTAAGAAACCAAATGCAGGTGTTAGATAAGGTTTTAAATATTGTAGTATCAGTTAAAATGTACACTAAAGGTAAAATGTAAACTAAAGTTATGCATCATATTTGTACTTGTTAATGGAATTTTAATATTATTTATTAATTTAAAATATAAAACTCATACTCTCTCCATCCCAAAATAATTTACCTATTTAGGCGTTGTTCTTTTGGTTGGAAAACTTAACTTCTAATTTTTTCCAATTCCTTCCAGTTTCTTCCAATTCTTTTGAGTTTCTTCCAATTTCTTCCAACTCCTTACAGTTTTTTCAAGCTCTTTTCAGTTTCTTCCAACAATTTTAAAATATTATTTAAGTGCATTTTCCATTTTATTCTCACTAGCTACAATTATTATTATTATTATTATTATTATTATTATTATTATTATTATTATTATTATTATTATTATTATTATTATTATTATTATTATGCACACACGTATATCCAACTACTCTAATCCTAGATCTCAGTTTGTTCTTATCTACGGCACATAAAAGCGTACACTACTACACATAAGGCACTTTAAATGACATGAGAAGAAAATTAGGGGTAAGGCTTAAAAGTCAAGGCATATTAAGTCCTCAACATCAATCCTCAAAACACTACTGCATCCATTAAGCTAGAGGCAGAGGCTTCTTGCTTTCAAACTCCAGAATTCTGAAAACCCGTCAACATAACTACCATAACAATAAATTGCTTACAACGGTCATGGATACCTGCGCCAACCGCCCTAAGGCAAAAGCTGACATTTCCCGCAATTGAGAATCAGATGAGCTAAGCATCGCAATGAGTGGTGGAACCGCACCTCTTTGGACAATGTGCACCTATAAAATTGTCATTTAAAAACATATATTGTTACAGTCAAATATAATAAACCCCAAAATGATTTGGGAAAATAAATTGAATCAACCTTGCAGTCTGAATCTGTCGCTGCAAATTGCCCTAGAAGTAAAGCAGCTTCCCTTTGGCTCTCAGAACAGGTGGAACTGTCAAATAAAAGATGGAGATTAACTTCATTACCGATGTCACAAAATGGAGACTAAGTCCATATCCAGAGTCCTTGCAGATATAGAGTCCAGAATGGAAACTAATTCCAGTGCTAATGTTGCAACACCTAAAAAGATAAACCTAATGATACCTAAGTAACCCAATGACAGGTTGTAAGGCTCCAGCAGCAAGAACTTCCTTCTTGATGTTGGGGGATGAGTGAACTAAATTGCCAATTACACCAACCTGAGACACCACCAACATGATTAGTCCAAAAGGGATAACACAAGAAACATGTGACAGGTTAACTAAAAAATAGACAACAAGCACAAGGTAAGATTGAAATGAAAATAAACAAATGGCTGACCGCTTCATAGTGTATTGCACTATCTTCAGACCGCAACATTAGAATAAGAGTGGGCAAAGCATTGCACTCCACTATCTGGAAGCAACTTTTATATATAAAACTAACNTGCCACCCTCAACCCTAGATGTAAAACTCAAGTGTCACAAAACATAGAGGACTAGGGTCTAGAAACTTATATTAAGAAAATTAATAGACCTAACACGACTTTTGATGCAACTATTCTCATGAGCAAGATTGGTGATTGCATCAGCAGCTCTCCTGATCACACCATTAAGAGCACGAGAATTTAGACTATCCTTATGCCTCTTTAGGATGCTAATAAGATGAGGCACAGCTCCAGCATTGACAATGAGTTGTTGATGCTCTGGCTGTCAGACAAAGAAACAGAAGAACAACGTCAATCAAGTAATAAAGAAAAATATGGAATCAATTGTAAACAAAGTTAATAGCCACAAATTGTTATACAAGATCTGTGCACGTGTACGGGAAAGTTGCAATAAATGATACTCCCTCCTCATAAAAAAATTCCTATTTGTCAAATCAATTTTTTACATTTTACTTAGATTCTAGGGGAAATCGTCAAATATAATTATACTTTTTAAAAATTATTTGTTTGTTTAACTACAATTAACATATTTAACGAGTTTGGCAGGCTTTTTTAATTAAGGACATTGCATAATATGGAAATTGGCATCTTTTGTTCAAACTGGACTCTATTTTTAGATACAATTATGGGGCAAACAGGGCTCTTCTTATGTGATGGGAGTATTAGTTACATGTAAACATGAATCAATGACAGCTTTTGATGCTACACCATGCAGCATCATAGTTACAAGCCAAGAGATAAAAAAAATTATAATTGTTGCAGTTGTAAGCTGCAGCTGGACAAGCGATCTAATGGAACTACTATGGAAGTCAGCAAGTACAGGCAGCTGCACTTCATTGAAATTTTACGACAGTAGCATCAAAGTTTAAACACGGTTTTTGTATAGCTGCAGAATTAGTAGAGGTGTTCAATAAACTATTGACAATGAAGCTCAACATGACTAAAACACCCTATACTTGCTCCCCTATTTTTCAAAATTAAACCGACAAATACCTATCTTCTTGCTATAAATATCAGTAATCCATTTCTAGATCACCAAGAAATATATTCGCTGCTAGGGAATAAAAAACACTCCTTGTTAGTGGGATTCAACTGGGTTGTTGTTGTTGTTGTTGTTGTTGTTGTTATCGTAGTTCACTTAAAATTTAGATGTCATTTTATTGCCTACTTAAAAGTTCGGGATGATTCGTTTACAAACTTAGATTTCTCAAAATTCCCAAGAGAATGGTATCAAATCATTCGGGCAAAACTTATCTAATTAGCGTTCTAAGAGATAGTAAGTACTTTTATGGCAAGCATCCCAAGTGTGAAAGCACTTCCCTTCTCAACCTCATGTGCATATGGGATTGGACCAGAGTCACCTTCCCTTGTCGGAGGCGGCAGCTGGAGATGCTGCACAAGAGCAGGAACAGCGCCACAGTCCACAATTACGTTCACAATTTCCTCTGCAGAAACATAGAATCCAGGTGAGAGAAAAAACTGGATCGCGAAGAATCGAACCACAATCTCTGTGCACGTGTACGGGAAAGTAAGATCCGGCAGAATTGATCAGCAAATTCAGTAACTCAGGTTACCGTTCTTCGCTAACTCGGAAAGGATTTGGATGGCGAGTTTGGAGGCAGCTCGATCTGGCTCGGTTGAAGAGAAAGACGCTCCAAGAATCTCCACTTGAGTGCGGACCTCGAGGATGATATCTTGACGAGCATCCTCGGCAGAAGGAGAGCCTACTCTCGATCGGTCTTCTTCAAACTCCTGGTCCAGCTTCCTCTTCAAGCTCTTCTTCGAACAGGAGCTTGAAGAGTGCTCGCTGCGCTTCAGGTTCTCCATGCGAGAGGGAAGATGACTGTGCATAGGAGCTAAGGATATTCAATGAGAAAATAGGGTTTTAATACTACCGGATACTTGTTTGCTTTATTGCAGTAACTGGTAAGGGAAAGAGGGAAGAAACAGAGTATTGGTTGGAGGGGATGAGGAAGAGATTCAACGGCAAGTGTGATCCCCAACTTGTTTTGGTTATGGGTTGGGTTTGACGGATCGGTTTTGGCGGTTCGATTTTGCATAAAAATATATAAATCGTTGCTTATTCATTTCGGTTTTAAACAGTTTTTATTTTGGGTTCTTTTATTTATTTTGGTTTTTAAAAATAAAATTTATAAGCATTAAAAAGTTGAAAAAACATCAATTCAATGAAGCAATAACAATATGTAGGGTTGGGTTCAGTTTTTTCGGTTTGATTTTTATACAAAACCAAAAATCGAACAAAAAGATAGAGTTTGATTTGGTTCGATTTAATATAAAAAATATGTGTCGAGTGTCCTAAAAACATGAAACATCTAAGAGCTTCGAAATACTTCTAAAGCTTTCGTATGTAAATATCAATTATGAAAAATGTGTGTTTTTGGTATAAAACTTTCATTTCTACTATAACATTAAAGATTTTTCAAGTGAATATATAAATTAATCGTATCGATTGTTAATGTTAATATAAGTCCGTAATAGGATTAGTTATTGATGTTTATATTTCTAGGTTTTTTAAAGTTTATAATATGGTTTGAAATGTTTAATAGGTAAGAAAAATAAATTCAATCGACTAATCAACTATTTACATTTATATTTTTATACATATCACATATACTCATATAAATACAGCGAAGTACCTAAGAAAATTCGATTTATTCGGTTCAGTTTTTCAAAGTGAAAACCAAAACGGAAACCAAACACTAAGGGTTCGGTTTGGTTTTTACATTCAGTTTCGGTTTTTTCGATTTGGTTTTTTTTAGCTCATTTTGATCGGTTTTTGGTTTTCGGTTTTTCCAACCCAGTCCTATTGGCTAGAATTTAGATGCATGTTCAATAATACATGAATAATGTTATTTCCACTCCAACTATATGTTGTCATGTCGTGGGCTTGACGGGAGTTTGATGCTAGACGAAGTGCCATGCAGGCACCCCGTAAATAGGTAGTTGCTAGAAGAAAAATATGTGTTAAAGGTCTTGAAAGGGGCGTGATGAAATAGTGATTGGAATATATTGATTGGTTGGAGAAAGAAAAAATTTAAAGAAACTCATTGTGTCGTGATGACCGTCACCCAACAAGGGGCCACACCTTATCATAGGAAATGTGGCATAGTGGAGGCAGTGTGAGTAAAAACTACAAAGAAGCTCGTTTTGAACAACTTTTCCTTTTGCGTCAGAGTCTAATTCTGAGCTGATCTATAAGTTTTACTCAAATCAAATGTCTTTTAGCGTTAGCTCCATTATATTCTGAATAGGATTTCACTTTTATTTTTCTAATGTCAATGACAAGTAATGCCTCAGTAATAATTTTTTTTTGAACGAAAGTACTCTTCTTTATTCATAAATCACAAGTAAATTTATACAACCATCCACTAGTACAGAATTTAGTTCCTCATATTGATTATACTAAATTGAACATGGTATTTAATAGTAGTTAAAACTTCTTCCACCTCGATCTCTTTTTGATGAAGTTTAGCATTCCTTGCTTTCCAAATATTTTAGCAAACATTCATCCAAGCAGCCAAGACTATTCCCCTCGCACGAGCTGGTTTCAGCTTCCATATATTCTCCCCATCTCTTTTAGGTTACCTCCTCTGATCTCATATCTCAACCAATCGAACACCTCCTTCATTATGTTTCTGGTCAGTCTACATTAATAGAAGAGGTGATTTGTGTTCTCCTCCTCTTCCTCACAAAGCAAACAGATTATATCGATATCCATGAATCTCTTCAACTGATCCCTTGTTTGCATTCTGTTCTTCATAATCAGCCAAAAGATAAATCTGTGCTTATGGATACTACCTCC